CTCTCACTAGGTGCCACATCCCTCACTAGGTGCCACATCCCTCTCACTAGGTGCCACATCCCTCTCACTAGGTGCCACATCCCTCACTAGGTACTACATCCCTCTCACTAGGTGCTACATTCCTCACTAGGTGCTACATCCCTCTTACTAGGTGCCACATCCCTCTCACTAGGTGCCACATCCCTCTCACTAGGTGCCACATCCCTTTCACTAGGTGCCACATCCCTCTCACTAGGTGCCACATCCCTCTCACTAGGTGCCACATCCCTTTCACTAGGTGCCACATCCCCCACTAGATGCCACATCCCTCTCACTAGATGCCCCATCCCTCTCACTAGGTGCCACATCCCTCACTAGGTGCTACATCCCTCTCACTAGGTGCCACATCCCTCTCACTAGGTGCCATATCCCTTCCCACCAGGTGCCACATCCTTCCTGCCCCACCCTGGGCCACAGCAGCTACCATTCTGCTTTCAGCTCTGGAACCCCAGCAATCACCAGTCAACGTTCAGCCTCTATGAACCTGTGTTATACGTGAGTAGAATTGCATAGCCTTTGTCCTGTTCCATTTCATCCCCAATTTCTATTAATTTGAGTATTCTTTCTCTTTTTTATTTTTGGCAGTCTTCTTGATGGACTAGCCCAATATTTCATATACCATAAACGTCTGATACTACTGACTTCTTTTCCTTTTTTTGTTTTGTTTTTGTTTTGAGACAGGATTTCTCTGTGTAGCCCTGGCTGTCCTGGAACTCACTCTGTAGACCAGGCTGGCCTCACACTCATGGAGATGTGCCTGCCTCTGCCTCCTGACTGCTGGGATTAAAGGTGTGACCACCAGGCCTGGTTCTCTTTATTTTTATTGTATGTATATTATTATTTCGCCTGCATGTGTGTATGTACACTGTAGGCATGCCTGGTGAGAAGAGGGCGTTGGATTCCTTAGAATTGGAGTTGCAGGTTGTTGTAGCTTCCTGCGGATCCTGGGAACTGAACTAGGACTTCTGAAAGAGCAGCAAATGTTCTTCTAACTGCTGAGCCATCTCTCCAGTTCTAGCCCTTTCCTTATTTATTTGTCTATCTATCTGTCTATCTATCTATCTATCTATCTATCTATCTATCTATCTATCTATCTACTTATTTATTTATGTGCATTGGTGTTTTGCCTGCATGTATGTCTGTGTGAGGGTGTCAGTTCTTAGAGTTACAGACAGTCGTGAGCTGCCTTGTGGGTGCTGGGAATTGAGTCCAGGTCCTCTAGAAGAGCATGCAGTGCTCTTAACAGCTGAGCCATCTCTCCAGCCCCTAGCCAATTCCTTTTAAAAGTTAGTTTATATTTGTTGTACAAAGCAAGAGCTTTATAATAGTGCCCTTACGCAAGCATATCATGTACTTTGACCATATTTACTAATCACTTTCTGCTGACCCCTCCCCATCTATCACTAGTCCTTTTCAATTCCCAAATGGTCTTCCACCTATGACATATTGTGCCTGCACACACACACACACACACACACACACACACACACACACACAGAGTACGTATTTACTATGGTTCCACATATGAGGGAAAACATACAATACTTATCTTGCTGAGAGGCTTGGTTTGCTTAATATGATAGTCTCTAGTTCATCTACTTTCTTAGAATTGACAGAACTGTATTCTTTATGACAGAATCAAACTCCACTGTATATGTAGCCCACATTTTCTTTATCTCTTTATGTGTTTCTGGACATCTGGACTGATTCTGTAACTTGGCTATAGTGAACAATGTAGCAATAAACATACATGTGCAGGTATCTCTGTGGTGTTCTGATTTCTTTGGGTATATGGTATATTCCCAGGGGTATGGTCACGTCACATGATTTTTAAAAGAACCTCCATGTTGATTTTTAGAGGGGCTGCCCTAGTTTACATATCTCACAGCAGTTTATAGGGTTCCCTTTCCCTTGCATCCTTGAAAGCAGTTTTAAAAAATGATAGCTATTTTGGCTGAGATGAGATGGAGACTCAGTGTAGTTTTGATTTGTGTTTCCCTGATGCCTGAGGATACTGAACACTTGTTATTTGAGAAGGTGAATCACTTTGTAGCTCTGGGTGTCCTGGAACACTCTATGTAGACCAGGCTGGCCTGGAACTCAGAGATTTGCCTACTTTTGTCTCATGAGTTCTGGGATTAAATGTCTGGCTTGGATTCTTTTACATGTACTTATTGGCCATTTGTACTTTGTTTTTGAGAAGCATCTGTGTGTTTTCTTTTCTTTCTTTCCTTTTTTTTTTTAAAAAGATTTATTTTTTTTATTATGTATACAGTGTTCTGCCTGCATGTGTCCCTGCAGGCCAGAAGAGGGCACCAGATCTCATTATAGGTTTTGTGAACTGCCATGTGGTTGCTGGGAATTGAACTCAGGACTGGAGGAACAGACAGTGCTCTTTTTTTTGTTTTGTTTTGTTTTGTTTTGTTTTGTTTTGTTTTTCGAGACAGGGTTTCTCTGTGTAGCTTTGCGCTTTTCCTGGAACTCGCTTTGTAGACCAGGCTGGCCTCGAACTCATAGAGATCCGCCTGGCTCTGCCTCCCGAGTGCTGGGATTAAAGGCGTGCGCCACCACCGCTCAGCCAGACAGTGCTCTTAACCTCTGAGCCATCTCTCCAGCCCCAAGTATTTATTTTCTTTATGTATTTTTTGATTGGATTTGTTTTGGGTGTTTGATTTTTTGAATTTTTTTGTGTATATTAGATATTAATCCCTTGCCAGATGCATGGCTGGCAAGGACTTTTTCCCACTCTGTGAAGCGTCTCCTTTTGCAGTGTTTCTTGATTGACAGGCCATGTGAAGCTACCTCCATTCTGTCCTTCAGAAAGATGTACAGGTATCTTATCCCATCTGCTCTGGACATGGTTAGTTAAGATCCAGACTCTGGGAAATGTCAGTGTTAGGTCCCTTACATGAGGTCTAAACCCTGCTCTCCCCCGTGGGAAGCACTGCATTTCTGTCCTGGTTAATGGCTCAGAAATTCTGTGGCCTCTCTGCCACTGGCTCCTCACATGCCCTTGTGGTCCATGCAGAGGTTTGCTCTGTTGCCTGGGGTGTAAAAGTCTTTCAACTGGACTCTGACTTCCTCTCAGGGGCACCTGATCTCAGGCCTTGACCAGGGTGGGTGGAGGGAGAGCGCTGTACCCACCTAGTTGCAGTTCAAGCCCTGTGTGGATTTGAAGACTGGGAGGATGAATTCTTGGAAAGTAAATCAATTATGGAAATGTATAATTCAGAAAAAAAGCCTTCTGTGTTCGCTTACTTCCTCCTGTAGTTTCAAATGTTCAAAATTTCTCTATTCCTGAATTAATAAGTGCCAATATGTGTTTTTTAATTTAAAAGCCTCCCTTGGAGGCTCCTCATTCCAAATCTTCAGATATGAGTACATGTCCTGGAGCAGCTGCAGAAACCAGGAAATTTAAATGGGACATTGTCAGGACAGGGGGATTGGAGAACCATAGAGAGGGGGTATCAGGGGACTAATGATCTGACCAAACAGGAAAGGGGGACTCTTTAGGGACAGGGAGGAAGATAAACACAGATGGAGAGAGGGGGGTAGAATAACTAAAGGATGTCTGAAAAAGCCAGAAGGAATCGTATATTAATAACCAATACTATTAACTATTTACCTAAAGACCCTATAATACACAGTTCTATATATAAATATACATACATACTATAATTTCTCTTTCTTTCTTTTCTTTTCTTTCTTTCTTTCTTTTTTTTTTTTTTTTTGGTTTTTGTTTTTTCAAGACAGGCTTTCTCTGTGTAGCCCAGGCTATCCAGGAACCCACTCTACAGATCAGGCTGTCCTCAAACCCACAGAGCTCCGTCTGCCTCTGCCTCCTGAGTGCTGGGATTAAAGGCATGTGCCACCACCGCCCAGCTTACATACATAATTTCAATGACCTTTTCTCATTCTGAGCTGACAATGTTCCTTTCAAAAGCCAAACACCACCTAGAAAAACCCAATACCAGACACGAGAAGCCCTCTTTCATGGTACCAGAAGGTGCCATTTAAGCTTCCAAAGGTTGGAGGCAACCAATAGTCCTACCCAGCTAGATGCCTATGAACCACATCAATGACCAGCATGGCACCATAGCCCTGAGTACAGTAGTGGCAAGCATACCTTGGTGGTAACCAACAGCTCTCTGATTGGACTTAAGTCCCTCTCCACAAGAGGGAAACCACGCCTGGTGCTAGAAGCCTAGCGAACTACACAGTGCTAGTCAAGTTATGGATCTTGGAGGAGAGTCTCTAACCACTACTCTACGAAGTCAGCATGCTGTCTAATGACAATCTAAACATTTATCCTAATGTTTACAGATAGTGTAGCCTTTACTTCTCATCAAGGAAACTCCTCTTTGCAACAGACAGAGAGCATTACAGAAAACCACAACCAGTCAAAATGCAGAGTTGTGGAGCCCAGGACCAATGGCTACACCCACGAAACACTTCCACACCGAAGATTCGGGGACCATTGGGGAAGAAGAGGTGAAAAGTCTGTAAGAGTCAGCAGATCAGGGAGCTTGCTGTGAGAATGTGCCTCCTAGGAGTGTTAGAAGCGACACCCGTAGCGTCTCACCAACATGACTGCCCAAGCATGAGCTGAACAAGGACAGCAACAGACGTGCTAAGGAGGAAGGCCTTAACCCTATACCAAGAACGACGGGAAACTAAGGGAAGAGCACACCGATTGATTATCATTATCAGCTCTGAAAACATACATGCAAGTAACATTATACAGACCAAGCAGGTTATAGTTATGTGCTTAGAAGTGTGTGTGTGTGTGTGTGTGTGTGTGTGTGTGTGTGTGTGTACAACAACTTAGGAAAAAAGAGGCCATGAATTTGAAAGATCAAAGAGAGTTATGTGGGAGGGTTTGGAGGGAGGGAAGGGAGGGGCAAATGGTGTAATAACATAGTAATCCAAAATTTAAAAATAATTTTTTAAAGATTTACTTATTTTTATGTGCACTGGCATTTTGCCTGCACGTGTGTCTGTGTAAGGGTGCCAGACAGCCCGGAACTGGAGTTACAGACAGTTGTGAGCTGCCATGTGGGTGCTGGGAATTGAACCTGGGTCCTCTGGAAGAGCAGTCAGTGCTGAACCATCTCTCCAGTCCCTAAAGGAAACAAAATTTTTTAAAATGTTTAGTCCAAGGAAAAAGAATTACAAGATGAAAATCGCTGTAGGCAGAGTGGAGGTGGAATTCACGAATGAGCATTACAAACTCTTTGAACAGAGAGGCCTCAGAGCTGGGTTTTGCTGTCTCTAAAGATGTTTCAGTTTGTCTTGGGTTCAAACACCCCTCCCAGTAACCCCTTTATTTTTACCAGGCTGAAAAAGAAAAGCATCCCTGAGTGGAGAATTCAGAACACGGCAATGCTTATTTCTCGAAGCTCTGGAGGCTGCAAGTCCAAGGTTGAGGCGGCGGCAGGTTTGGCGTTGAGTGAGGGGTGATCTCAGCTGTCGAGAGAGGCGTGCTGTGTCCTCTGCATGGGATGGACACTGTCTGCCCAAGAGCTGCAAAGGGTGGATGGGGACTTATTACCTTCTCCTGGGAGCCCTCTCATGAGGAATTCATAAATTCCTGAGGTGGAGTGCTCATAGTTTTCTTACCTCTCACAAACCTCACTTCTGATGCTGTCACACTGGGGATTCATTCTCAAGGTGACCTTTGGAGAAAACACAGTATTCCAGTTGTAGCACATGGTGGCTCTCAGGCTCACAAATTGTCACAAACAGCAGGAGCTTTTCTTTTCATGGAAAAATTCCACAAATAGGCATATTACTTATTTATTTTTAAGATTTACTTATTTTATGTATTGAATATTTTGCCTACAAGTATGTAGGCACCATAGGTGTGCCCAGTGCCTTCAGAGGTCAAAGGTCAGAGGTCAGAAGAGGGTATCAGCATCGGATCCCTTGGAACTGGAGCTAATGATGGCTGTGAGCCATCATGTGGGTGCTGAGGATTGAATCCAGGTCCTCTGGTAAAACAAATGCTCTTAACAGTGGAGCCACTTTTCCAGGCTCATAACTAGACATTTTAAAAATAAGTAAAGCTGCTGGGCGGTGGTGGTGCACGCCTTTAATCTCAGCACTCGGGAGGCAGAGTCAGGTGGATCTCTGTGAGTTCGAGGCCATCCTGGTCTAATAGAGTGAGTTTTAGGACAGGCTCCAAGGCTACTCAGAGAAATCCTGTCTTACCCCCCCCCCCCACAAAAGTAAAAGTATATGTAATTTCCATAGCTTCTTTTAAAAGACTTACTTTATTTTATATGTGGGAGTGGTTTGCCTGTATGTGTTGCTGTGCACATGTTTGTGCCTGGTGCCCAAGGAGATGAGAGGAGAGCATTGGATCCCCTGGAAGTGGAGTTACAGACTGCTGTGAATCACCACGTGGGTCCTGAGAATGGAACCTGGGTCTTCTGCAAGAGCAGCAAGTGCTCTTAGCCACCGAGTCGTCTATCTAGTCCCTCCAGTCTTGTGACTATTGGTAGATTGCCCGTGCTCCTGTAAACAATCTCTCAGGGATGCTTCTGTAAGTCCCCACTGAAACTCATTGGTTAACAAGAACAACAAACGTTTCATTATTTTTTTTATTGGATTTTTGTTGTTGTTTGTTTGAGACCAAGTCTCCCTTTGTACCCCAGGCTAGCCTAGAACTCACTATCTAGGCAAGACTGACCTTGGACTCTCCAGCGCTGGGACTGTGTGCATGCTGCTCTATCCAGTTTTTATGTGGTACTGGGGATCAAACTCAGGGCTTCATACATGCCAGGCAAGCTCTGTGTCTAAGATATATCTACAACTTCTTTATTGTCACTTTGATTTGCTTTTGCCTGAGGACTGGTGATGCTGAACACTTTTCACATGCCTGTTGGGCTTTTGGTTTCTTTGTTCTTTGTACATATTCTTTACTGCTGAGTTGAGTGAAGTCCTTGCATATTTTGGCTATTAACCCCTTATCTAAAATGTGGTTTACAAATGTCTTCTTAAGGTCGTTAGTGGTTTCTTCTCTTTACTCATGTCCTCGGGAGCTTTTTAGTGTGATTGGTCCTGACAGCTTATTTAACCTCTTGTTGCATGGCTTCTCAGGAGATGCCTAAAAGCCCTCACCAGAGTCAGCATTAACAGGTTTTCCCTGTCTTCTAGACAATTATGGCGTCAGATCTGTTTAGATCTTCCTCTCTCTGAGTAGACTTAATGTGATAAGATCAGGCAGGGTCCAGTTTTATTCTTTAGCATGTAACTATCCAGTTTTCTGGAGATCATTAATTTCTTTTTTTTTCCTTTTTTCTTTTTTTCATTTTTTCGAGACAGGGTTTCTCTGTGTTGCAGTTCTGGTTGTCCTGGATCTCGCTCTGTAGACCAGGCTGGCCTGGAACTCACAGAGATCCGCCTGACTCTACCTCCGGAGTTCTGGGATTAAAGGCATGTGCCACCACCGCCCAGTGAGATCATTAATTTCTTACTTTTCAGTTTTTACTTTTTGCAGTACCAGGGGTGGAACCCAGCATCTCGGGCATGTTAGGTAAGGCTCTACCATCTAGCTCCATTCCCACCTTCTCCTTTTTATTTTGAGACAGTGTCCTACTGAGTTGCCCAGGATGGCCTTGAACTTGCAATTCCCTACTTCAGCCTCCCAAGCAACTGGTATTACAGATTTGCACCACTGGGTCTGGCTGAGAAAACATTTGTTGAAACAATCACCCTTCTTTTTATCTTCTTGGTGATCCTAGTCAAAATCACTTGCTCACATAAACTGGGGCTTATTTTTGTATTTTCTACCCTTTTCTATTAATCTATGTATCTGTTTTTATGGAGGTGTGAATTTTTGTTACATATAAAATATATCTCAGTCAAACCGATTTACAACTGACTTACCAAAAAAAAAAAAAAAAAAAAATTCTTACGTACAGCCAGTAGGCTCCCGTCTTCCTGAGTGTGTCTGGTCTGCTTCCTGTCTAGCTTTAGCATTTCAGTTCTTCTTGCTGCTGCCTCCGGATCTACAGAGTCTGTGAGAGGTGGGTCTGCCATTTCACCTGTAGTTCAGCATGAGTAGCTGTCCCATGCCGGATACTGAGAGAGTACCTCTGGCTCAGAGCTCGGGGGAACCCAGGCCCTTGTCAGGCTGTGGTCTTATCAGGAGGGGCAGGGGAAGCAGGTCTGTGTGGCCATCTTTCCCCTTGTCCTTTAGGGGTAAAGAAAGCCAAACACTTTTGGCTTTTTCCTTGGACACAGCTAATTCTCCACATCAACCTGACAGGTGAGTCCGAAAGTCACGGAGGAGGACATCTGCCTTCAAAAATGACGGGAGACGGCAGACACTTGTAGCTGCCTGCTGACCATCTCCGTGTGAGGGGAGAGAACATGAAACATGGGGTTTCAGAGCCTGACCTTATTCTCAACTCTCCACTTACCAGTTCTGCGTATCACCGCTCACTTCCTTCTTTCCTGGAGTCCCAGCTCTCCGTGGGGTGCTTGCAGTTCGAGCTGAGCCCCGAGGTGCCACCTTTTCCCACTGCTTCTGAAGACTTCCCCAAGGACCCTGGGGAATTCTGGTCTGCAGCCCAGGCTTAGACTCAGAACTCTATTGCTTGGGTTTGGAAAACCCATCCAGATGAGTAACTGTTAGTTTGCCTTTGACCGTGATGCAAGCTCGTTCACTTCCTGAAACCACATCCTTCCTGCCTCCAGTGTCAGTGACCATTATAAATTCATCTCATTTCCTCTTTGGCTGTACCTAAGGCTGGTATCTTGGTGAGTACAGTTTCATGGAGGAGTGTGGGTGAAAGTTCCAGGGAAGGAATGGGAAGCTGTACTCAATGGCATGATTTGTCTTGGTCAATAGACTAGAAATTTCTTCTAGATTCTAAATCTAACTTTAAAGTATTTCTGGGGTGTTCTGTTTGTTGGTTACTTGGTTTGTGCATGTTGGGGAGGTGTGGGGAGGTGGTGGGGAGAAGAAGGAGGAGGAGGAGGAGAAGGAGGAGGAAGAGGAGGAGGAGGAGGAGGAGAAGAAGAAGGAGAAGGAGAAGGAGAAGGAGAAGGAGAAGGAGAAGGAGAAGGAGAAGGAGAAGAAGAAGAAGAAGAAGAAGAAGAAGAAGAAGAAGAAGAAGAAGAAGAAGAAGAAGAAGAAGAAGAAGAAGAAGAAGCAATTATAGTTTCCTAGGACTTCAACAGGCTTGCCTAACATCCACTCAGGGCAGCAGAGGGTGGGATGCCTGTGAGGGAATGTGCTGGAAGCCCAGGGGCCAGCCAAAGTAAAGACCAAAGCTATTTGTGGAAGGTCTCAGGAGCAGGGAGCAGAGAACTGAAAAATCCTGGTACAGATGGGAGCTGAAGGAGGATCTGTAGAGCTGGGGCAGCTGTCAGCAAAGGCACCAGAGATGAATGAAAGGGAGGATGTGAGCTGTTGCCTAAAGCAGGGAGAGGAGACAAGGATGGAAACGGAACAGGAGTTGTTAAGCTCGAGGTGACTCGAGTATCAGCTTGCTGTCATATAAATATCAATTTAGAGTCCATTACCATTTTCCAGGCTCTTTCCCTTCCCCTATCATTAATGGCTTCAGTCTGAGAATGCCACTTAATGTCTGTACTGCTCAGCAGAAGGAACCTCCACACTCCAGTTTAGTTGAGAACCTAGATAAGAAAGAATTGTCAGGGCAGCATCTAGCCTATGAATTTTAATTCATATTTAACTAAGTGTGAATCATGATTGCTCATGATGTTTGTGAAAATTTCAAAGAGCCATTGAAGAGATGTATGCTTTGTTCCTCTCCTTTATATGCACCCAAGTGCCACCTGATTAGGTCCTGTCAGTCAGTGGGACATAGAGGAGCAGTGCAAGACTGTTCACCCCTCTGGGCTGTGGGCTGTTGCTTTGTTGTTACTATAGCATCTTTTCTCCTGGCTTTCTCCTTCCTTTGTCCCTTCCCCTCAGATGAAAACAGAACCTTCCATTAAAAGCGATCGGAAAGCTATCTCTTTTGCTTTCTCAGTGAGTAAATGGGGAAGCTGAAATTGAGAAACAGTGAAGAGTGCCCTGATTCCAGCCTCGTCACCATGGGACCACGGTCTCGCGTAGGCTTGTTCTCTGTGTACCATAGCTGATTGTGTTGATGGCTTATTTATTTTGATCTCTACAGAGGAGCTTTACTTCCATGGCTCAGGACACACTCCTGGATCAAGCTCAGAGAACTTTCTGGTAAGCATTTGGTTTACTTTTCAGAGTCAGAGATGGTGATTCATAGAGTTGAGTGATGTCCCCACCCCCACCCCACCCCGCCTGGAGTTTTTTGAATTAAGAAACTTAAAAACCTGTACCAAGCTATGGGGTACCCTGTGATGTTTCAATATTAGCATCTAGTTTTCTGGAAGTGGAGACTTTTAATAAGATTTTTCTTACCCACCTGGGGGTTTCATTCCTGCTGTGCCAGTGTGGACCTAAGCCCCAGGACCCTCGAAAGGGCTGCGGATGAAGATGACAAGCGTCCGCTGCAAGCTGGCCCAGTATCTAGAGGACCTCGAGGATGTGGACCTCAGGAAATTCAAAATGCACTTGGAAGATTATCCACCCGAGAGGGGCTGCATCCCACTCCCCAGGGGCCAGATGGAGAAGGCCGACCATTTGGATCTAGCCACACTCATGATTGACTTCAATGGGGAGGAAAAGGCGTGGGCCATGGCTGTGGGGATCTTTGCAGCTATCAACAGGAGAGACCTCTGGGAAAAAGCTGAGAAGGACCAGCCAGAGTGGAGTGAGTGAACAAGAAGATTTTTCTTCTTTCAGTAAAGTACACGTAACCTAAAACATAGAATTTTGGTAATTTCAAGTATATGGCTTAGTAATAAGGAAACTCATATTGTTGTGCAACCAGCTCCCAGAGCGCTTTTTATCTTGCACAACGGAAGCTCTTAACTTACTAGGTAATAACTCTCCGTTACCTAACCCTGTCTCCTAGCAACCACCTTTCTGTTTTCTGTTCCTGTGAACTTTACCACTACGGATTTTTCATGCAGGGGGAATCATGAAATATTTGTCTCTTGTGGCTGGCTTATTTCACTTAGCAGAATGACTTCAAGTATGTCAGAATGTCCTTCTTTAAAAAAGATTAATGATAAATATCCGTGTATAGACTACATTTTGCTTGTCTCTTCATCTGCCAGTGGGTAATTGTGTTTATGCAACATCGTCCTTTCTTGGGTTTTGAATTAGAGTCTCACATATCCCGGGCTGTCCACAGATTCAGGATCCTCTTTCCTCTGCCTTCTAAGTGCTAGGAGGTTATGTCCTTTGCCGCAAAGAAGCTGGCATGTTTAAAATGTTAATTTATTATCATGTTTTTTCCTCTTCTCCTGGCGGGGTATGAGAGAGTGGGAGGAAGCAGCGTGCTTTTTCTAATTCTGTAAAAACTCCAGTCGCAGTGTTCACTTACTCCCAGGAACCTGCTGTCCCTGGTACCAGGCTCTTTCCGGGTCTGTTTAGTGCTGAGGCCCACCTCTGGTTTTCCAACCAGCTCCTAGTGGATACTTGTTTGCTCTGAACAAGGGAAACGGCAGAAAGGATTCCGAGTGACCAGAGTGTCACAGGCAGAGGATGCTGAGTTGGAGGGGCAGAAGGGAGTAATCACAATGGGTCGTCAGATAAAGATGCTGGGGTGGTGATAGCTCAGTGGTAGAGCATCTGCCTAGCATGCACAGGGACCTAGGTTCCATCCTACACCACTGGGTCAGTGGAGACGAGGGGGTGCATGGCAAGCCAAGGCAATAGTGATACAGGAGAAAGAGATGGAGCTGTGTGGCGGAGAACGACACAATCAAGTTGCATATCACAACACAACTGTAGCTGTGTCTGTACAAAGAACGAATACAGTAAGAGTGGAGTGTTAATCTCAGCAGTAGGAGTACTTGCTAAGCAATTTTAGATTTTTGATATTAAAACATAAAACGTTTCTAGCTATTTATTTTGTGTGCATGTGTGTGTGTGCTATGGCACATATGTGGAGGTCAAAGGACACCTTGCAGGAGTTGAGTCTTTCTTTCTACCGTGTGGGTGCCGGGGATCAAAATCAGGTCACCAGGTTTGTGTCTTTGATCACTGAGTCACTTGTCTCTGACTTTTTAGTAGGTAGTTGCTTCTTTCTTTCTTTCTTTTTCTTTTTTATAAAATTTATTTTGGGCCTGATGTAGTGGCACACACCTTTAGTCTCAGCACTTAGGAGGCAGAGGCAGGTGGATCTATGTGAGTTAGAGGTCAGCCTGGTCTACAAAGCAAGTTCCAGGACAGCCAGGGCTATATAATAGAAAGACCAGGTCTCAAAAACAAAACATCCCCAAACATAGGCATTTTAGGTGTATGAGTATTTGCCTGCCTGTCTATATGTGCACCATGCATGTGTTGGTACCTGAGGAGGCCAGAAGATGGCATCAAATTCCCTGGAACTGGAGTTTTAGACAGTTGTGAGCCACCATGTGGGTGCTAAAAACTTAATCCAGGTCCTCTGGAAGGCAGCAAGGGCTCCTAATCACTGAGCCACCACTCCAGAGCACCCATACTAGGTAGTTTTGATGGATTTTGTTCTTTCAGCAACCCTATAAAGTAATTACTAGTAATATTAATGCTTTCAAATGAATGGTACGAGCCAGCGAGATGTTCTAAATACCTGGGGCTCCCCACTCAGAGTCGGCCATAATCAGAGTAAAAAGCCAGGCAAGACTATGAAAGTATAGCCGTGTGATGTCGGCTTTCACATCTGAATTTTAAGTGTGAAAACTGTCACCAGTATTTGAAGTTCTCTTTGGGTTAAAGGGAGATCTTACATGAGAATTATGTTGAGAGCTTGGTTTGCACGAATGTCTAGATTTTTTGTTTTGTGATCTCATTGCTAGTGGCACTTTCTTTTCTTTTCTCTTTCTTTTCTTCTCTCTTATCATTCCTTCTTTAGATAGGGTCTCACACAGCTCAGGTTTGCCTCCAACTCACTGTGCAGCCGAGGATGACCTTGAACTCCTGATCCCTCAGCCTCCACCTCCCGGGCGCCAAGGTTACAGGTGTATGCTAACACCATGCTGTGAAGGCACTCTGCCAACTGAACTACATCCCTGACACTCTCTTACAGAGTTATTTTATATCCACAGGAGTACTTACCTTACCCATAAGTTCCTGCCTGTGTCCTTAATCTATTGTATACGTTTTCCTGGAGGGGGCTTTGGTTACAGCATTCCTAAATTTCTCCTAGGAAGAAAGCCCAGACTACTTGGACATGTAGTTCTTGGCTGTAGGTACATGTTGGAATCTCCTTGGAGTTTTCTATGGATAATGATGCCTTAAGCCTCAGTGCAGAGTAAAAAGAACTTCTTTGAGTAGAGTCCTACTCAGAATTTTTAAATTTTTCTATGTGAATTTAGTTAACCAGTGTTCTGAACTACTTGACTGACTGACAATGTTCATTTCTGAAGACCTAGAAATCTAGACATGGAAGCACAGGATATGACCCAAATGGGCTACATACACGCCACGATGGTCAGG